TAGAAGAAGCAAGAGGATTTGTAGTTATATTTAGAGTTAGGTTGAAGTTTAAACCACTTAGGACCAGCATTTGTGACCTCTTGGAAAATCATTTTTCATAATCTGTAATATGGAGCAGTACTGGAGTATGTACCTCAAGGGCTATTGTAATAATTTGGAAAAAGCATTGAGCAGGTTGTTCCAGGTAACTAAATTTCTACCCACTCTTAAAATTCATGGGCCTGGCCAGGCATTGCAGCAATTTCTAATACCACAGGAGAAAAACAAAGGAATCAGCCATGGAAGGAAGAGGAGGGGAGGGGAGCTAGGGATACACTCAGATTAAGGGAACAGAAACCAGAGCAAAGGACCCCAGGAGAGGGCATTAGAAGGCAAGAGTCTCTGTGGCCTTCCAAACTCAATTCTAAAATTATTTGAATGCCACTCAGATAAAACACTTAATTTTAGTCTTAAATTCAACAAATGCTTTATTGTTTTAATCATTACAACAAATATTCTTGTTGTTCAAATATTGTCAATACATCGAAGGTCACAGGTGGTCAAATATTGTAAGGATTCCGTTCATTGGCCTTGATTTGACATCTTTGGGCAAAGGGGAAGATAAAATGAGAGAGTGAGTTTTGAAGGTCTTCCTATGGATCAAGGTGATTGGAATCACCCCAATTCTTAGGTGCTACAAGCTGGTTATAGCTCACTTTTGGAGTAGGTCTTTTTTTGTGTCCTCAGGATCCTTTGTCAAAGCCAAATCCAGAGACTCTTGGATGCTCTTTGCTGCCCTGAACCCTGATTTGATAGCTGTGTCAGTCCAGCCATGGGGCAGGGCTGTGTGTTCACCAGCAAAGTGGACCCGCCCTTCTGGATGGCTGAGCTCCTGTGTGTAGTCCACATATTGGTAGGGAGTGAAGGAGGTGTACGCTCCCATGGAATAGGGGTCTTGGCTCCAGTGCTTGACCATGGAATAGGGGCACAGGGCCCGGAGCTGTTCTTTGGGGTGGTCATGGACAGCAGCTAGGTCATCCAAGATGACATCTACCACCTGGGCATCGTCCATGGCAGCAAAGAACATGGAATCATCACTCACAGTATAGGAAGCCAGGATGACACCTGTGCCATTGGGGAAGGTGTGACTGGGATAGTAGATAAAGCGGGCGGGGCGGTCAGTGCAAGACTTGCCACTGAATATGCCTTCTTGCTCCCAGAAATGCTGTGTGCAGGCCAGGATCACTTTGGTGGCGCTGGTGTAGTGGACTGAATGTAATGAATTCTCCTTGTTGAGAGAGAGGGGTGGCCGAAAACGGAGGAGCCGGGCAGCCTTTGCAGTGTTGGCCACCACCACAAAATCGGCAGTCAGACGTGACCTGGGCTGCAGAGGGTCAG